CTGTAACTTAGCATCATGCTTTTAATCTGGAATTGTACTATGTTTTGGGTTTTAGCAGCTATAGAAAATAAGTAGTGAACATCTTCAGAAGAAATTATACGTTATGCAATCCTGAAATAATAACACATAATTAAGACACGCCAGAAAAACACACGTGGATTACGTTTGATAGACTGAGGTGTCAGCCCTGCTTTTTTTTTTCCATGTTTGATGTGATTATTTTTCTGATTCACTTAAGATAGAGTGAAATATTGCTTAATAATTGCTTTCTGGTGACATAAATGCAGCTGCTGCTGCATGGAGTTCTCTAAACTCCTTAACCAACAAAGGTCACAGAAGCAGAGGACAGCAGTTAAGTGAAGAAGGCAAGGAAGAGAAGGGAAATAGGACAAGCAAGAATTGAATATATGTGAGAAACCAGGCATGAAAAAGGATTGATACAGAAGCAAAATGACCTCTGAGTTGAAAATCTGGGGAGACTTAAAAGAGGGTTTTCTTTCCAAAGCAGTTAAGTCTAAAATGGAAATTAGAGCATTGTCAGTAACAGAAAAGGCAAAGGTGTTCAAAAATGTTTCTGCTTTGTCTTCAGTTGAAAGCTGAATGGAAGAATTAATATCATATGTTGATAAAATACTTCCTACAGATGTGTGTAAAAATTAAAAATGAATATGTATCAAAGTAATGGAGCTTAGTATCATAGATGATGCTAAGATGGAAATGAAGAGAATAGATCGTTGTAACACATGAATATTAATGGATCAGCAAATACACGTTTCAGCTTCTCAGAAGATTAAAATATCTTCATTGTGCCACGGAAGCAGAAATTTGACAGATTGAACAGTGGCCTGAAAACAAGTGTTTAACAAGAGCTGGTAACTGAAAGTTGAAATTACACACATTTGCCCCTAATTTTTGGTTTATTTTTTTGGCAGCAGGGACAACCAAGCACTGGAACACATGTGAAGGATGGTGCTGGGGTTGACTGATCAGCAGTAGAAATGTACATCAAAACTGGACTGTTTTCTCAAAAATATGCCCTAGTTCAGATTAATTTGGAGAAGCCCTGTAGCCTTAGTTACACTAGGGGACAGCAGTCTTTTTTAGTCTTACGGCCTATGAATGGAGTGTCTTTGGAAGGAGGCTTTGCCACGAGGGTAGCACGTCCCCGCTCGCTGGGTAGCTGTCCTGCTGACGGTTTCATGTCTAGGGAGGAGCTCATGAGTGGAGAGCTGGAAAAGCAATGTGAGCCAAAGCGCCTCCTCTGCTTGCTGTTAAGTGGGAGGCGCTGTGCATCTGCTATTTCAGATTGCTTCTGGGCAGAGTATTGGAGATTTTCTGTTCCCAGTGCCAGGGATTTATTTACGTGCTGTTGAGAACGAGTTCAAGTGAGTGCTTTACCCTGGCAGGTTTGCAGTATACCAGAAGGGGAGTATTCCATTAAAATTAGGAGTATTCCATTAAAATTAGAAGACATAAAGAACTTGAGAATGGAAAATGCACGATTGCAGGAATCAAGCACACGTATTTCCTTGGGAGAAGGACCGTGGGAGAACAGCTAGTGTGCTCGGGAAGGAGAGGGAAGGAGATAAAAGATAAGGAAGTATAAATCAGCACTAGCAGGACTGCCTGTCGGCCCTTCTGATCTTCCCTGGGCTGAGATTTGTTTACCTTTTAAGTCCGCTGCGGCTGCTCTTCAAGAGGTGGCTCTTTAAACAGAGCGCCACGGCACGCCGGAGCTGCGCAGGTGTAGGAAATTGTTAGGCTTGTTCAGAGGAAGTATCCAAAAAATCTGTTAAAGACAAAATACTTAAACCAGAAGCAAAGTGCTGATAAAGATCTGACGGGATGACTAGTTG